CTGAGCCTCGCTGCCATGAAGGCAATAGTGCGTGGAATGTGGGAGCTCTGCACAGTATTTTTAGAGTGGAGAATGACACTGAGGTGGTAAGGAAAGTGTCAGTGTATCAGTTTCTCTTGCTCTTTAATGAACCAATCCAACACTTAGTGATTCAAGACAATACTGTGTTGTACTCATGTGGAGTGGGGCACAGCAGGGCTGGCTGAGTCCCATGCTGCCTTGCATCACAGCTGAGACCTGGGATCCCTTGGCTGTGGCTTCATTCACCTGTTCTGGGGCCTCATGGGGCTGTCTTTCTGGAGCACTTAACCCCCATATTGCCTAGGCCCTTCCCTGTGATCAGCGGGTAGTCGGATTCCATCCCTGATGGTTCAGGACTCCAAAGGGGGCTGTTCTTTGAGATAAGTTGGAAGCTACATTGCATTTATGACCTAGCCTTAGAGGCTATGCAGCATCACCTCTGAAATATTGTGGGAAGAAGCCCGGCAGGATTCAAGGGGAGGAAACCAGGTAACCTTTGGGTGGGGACTAAGTGGTAAGGCTACGTTGTAGAAGTGAAGCCAGCCTGATATCCTTTGCAGCCATCTTGGTAAATACATTCTGTCATCCTCGACAGAAGGCAGAATAAGGGGCGTGGGTGGAACTCTAATGTCCTTACCTTAAGTCTCTTGTCACTTTCTACCGTACGTTTTATGCATATTCATTTAATTACATTTTGCTTTTAGATTAACCCCCTAAACTACTAAGGTATTATAGTATTTAGATTCTGAGTAATTCTAGCTTCCTGTCATATCAGGGCAAGAGTAATTTTATTTATTTACTTATTTTTACTGCAGGTTCACCCCTATGTGTCCTGTGTTTCTTCAGGTATCTCAGTATTCCATTGTTCATTTTCCACTTACCTTTTTTTCCATTCTGGAGCATACATCTTTCTTCTTCTGTGTCGTCGTTTATGGTGCTCCTATTTCCTGGGCTGTTCTCTCTTCCCTTCTACTTGGTACTAATTTTCAAAACCAACATTAAGACATACCTATTCCAGCAGCCCTTATCACCTTGGATTGTCTTCCTTTTGGACTTCCCTTCTCTTCCTTGTGTGTTTCATTAGTGTTGGTTTCCACAGAAGGGGTTCTGGGTTTTTGCAGTCTCCTTGTAGTCCTCGTTGTTGATTGACTGGTGGTGACAGCAGGGGTAGGGGAGTGAGCATTTATTGAGTGCTGACTGTGGTCCAGGCTTTACAAAAAATGTATTAACTCATCTAACCCTCATGAAAGTTTGATGAGGCAGATTCTGTTCTGATCTTTATTGTACAGATAAGGAAGCTGAGGTACTCAGGTTAAGTTTCCTACCTGAGGCAGCAGAACAGGCGTGTGAGCCAGTCTGGCCCTAGAACACACTCTCTCCTCTTCACCGAACTGCCTGTTGTGCTCAAGAGGAACTGTGGATATAAGGAATTGTGTGTGGTGCTTCTAATCTTGTTTGTTAGAATTTAGAATGTGCATTGACCTTGTTACATAGCATTGGCAATTCTTTTTTTTTCTCAAGTGAAAAAAGAGAAAACTTTTTTTTATTAGTTGCTCAAGACAATACAGTGATCTTGACATATCATACATTTGATTCAAATAGGGTATGAATTCTCATTTTTCCACGTGTACAGATTGCAGGATCACATTGGTTATACATCCATGTGTACACATACAGCAATCCTAGGGTCAGTTGTATTCTGCCACAACTGGCAGTTCTTTACACTATTTTTAACACATTAATCCCTTGTTAAATCTTATTACAAGGTTATTAAATATCATTCAGTTTTACAGAGCTGATAAATCTTAGAATCTTCTAACAAATCACTGATACAGCTGCTATTAAAAGTTAATTGCCCCAAAGTCACAATTCTAGAGTAAAGGAGGATGCTTCCTACCATGCTTCAGAATTACCAGGTCATCTCTCAGGTGTGGGTTTATGTTCCAAAGTTCTTTTGAAATCAGCTTTCTGGAACTTCATTTACGTGTAAGAATACATTATATTAAACTTGGTGATTAGGTTCTTAGGCTCAAACAGAGTAATTTCCAAATGCAATGGTATTTGAATATTGGAACTAAGAAATTAAATAATATTCGTTCACCACTGTTCACTTGCTACATGTGGAACACTGAATAGTGACACTTTTTTGTTTAAAATTATGAGTTCTTATGTGGGCATCAGGAACACAGCACCTTTGTAGCAGTTGGTACATACTTTTGGAGCCTGAGAAGTTCAAGATCAAGGTGTCAGTAGAGCTGGTTCCATTCTGAGGCCTCTCTCCTCACCTGTCAGATTGCCACTTCCTCAGATGTTTTCCTGTCGTCTTCTATCAAGTGTGTCTGTGTCCTAATCTCTTCTCATGAAGACACCAGTCATGGGCCCATATAACCTTCATATCCCTTTAATGGCCCCTTTGTCAAATACAGTGATGTTCTGAAGAACTAAGGTTAGAACTTCAACTTATGAATTTGAGGGAGACAGAATTCAGCCCTTAATATCCATGTTGTGATTATACCACAATTTCTTCATTATGTTATTTGCTCAATGCTGTGATTGTTTTCCATTATAGATTATTATGAACGATCTAATATGAACTTTCTTTTACATGTATAGAAACGCCTGAGTTTCTTCAGGCCAGGATGGAGGGTTATGGCTTAGTAGTAAATTGCTAGGTCATATTGCCAACTGCAGCTTTAGTGGATAAATCCAATATGTTTTCCAATGTGGTGGTTCCACTTTACACTCTTACCAGGAGTGTAGGAGAGTTCCTGTTGTTTCATATTTTTCCAACACCTGATAAATTGCCATGCTTTTAAATTTTACCAGTCAGTTGGAGTGCAGTGTTATCTCATTGTGTTTTAAGTTGCATTGCCTTAATTATTTAACAATTTGGCCATCTCTCTCTTTATATAATATGTCTGCTTGGATTTTGTGAGATATCTATTCAGATCTTCTACCTATATTTCTATTGGGTAGTGTGACTCTTATTGATTTGTAGAAGTTTTTTAAAACACTCTGGATATAAGTCCCTTGTTACTTATATATGTCATAAATACACTCTAGGCTGTCTGTCTTCACTATATTTAATACTGTCTTTTGAGGAATAGAAGTAATTTAAATGTGGCCAGTTTATTAGTCTTTTCCTTTCTATTCTGTTTTTGAATGTGTATCTTGAAAACATTAAGAATATTAAGATATTTTTCTAGAATTATCTTCTAAAATTCTGATCATTTCCTGTTGTATATTTAGAAGTAATGTATCAGCACTAATTTTTGTGTACAGTATGAGGTATAATACAATCTTCATTTTTTCCTATAGATAGTTGTTGTAGTATTGTTAATTGAAAAGCCACTCCTAACCACTGCTGCCTGAACAACCTCTGTCCACAGTATGAGCTCTGATCTGCTTCTAGTCTTCCAATTCTATATCATTGATTATTTTGTCTATCTCTGAAGAATGTTATACGGGGCTGAGGTTGTGGCTTAGTGGTAGAGTGCTCACCTAGCATGCATGAGGCACTGGGTTTGAGCCTCAGCACCACATAAAAATAAAGATACTGTGTCCATCTAAAACTGAAATTTTTTTTTATAAAGAATGTTACACTGATTTGAATCCTGTTGCTTTGCAGTACATCTTATAAATTGATAGAGCAATTCTTCCTATCTTGCTATTTCTCTTCTGACAGTTAGTTGTTGGTTCTTTCCAATTCCATAAACATTTTAGCATTTGCCTGTTTGGTTCCACAAACAGACCTTTTAGGATCTTTATTGGAATGCTTTGATTCCGTAAGATCAGTTGAAGAATTGTCAATGTCATGAAAGACAAAATAGACAAAAAATAAACATGGGGGAACTGTTTACATGAAAGAGGACTAATGAGACATGGTAACTGAATACAATATATGATAGTTTGTGAATATTACAAAAGCCTGGGGCAAATGGTAATATTTTACTTTGAATTGTGTTTTGGATGTTAGTAATATACCAGTGTTAAATTTCCTAATGAGGGTGATAATTATATGTATACCTTTGTTCTTTGGAGATACATGCTAAAGAATTTAAGGTGAAGTATAATCATACTATAGTCAGTTCTTAGTTCAAAAGGGTTGGGGAGAGGTGGGCAGTTAATGTTAACAATGGCAAATCCTGATGAAAGGTAGTAGTTTAGAATCTTTTCAAAATAAAAGTTCAAGAAAATTAAATTTTATTTATTATCTTAGGAAATAACATAGAGCCATATAAGTTCATTATGAATAATACTGTATTAAGCAAATGTGCCACTAAAAGCCATAGTGATATAGCAAACATGATTGGTTATTTAAAAAGTCATCTAGGGGTTGGGGAGTTATCATCTGCTCGGCAAGCACAGGTTCCTGTTTTTGACCTTTGGTACTGAAAAAAAGTTTTTGTTTGAGTTGACTCAATACACATTTAAGTTGCACAGGAATATCAAATGTCTCTGGGCTGTCTCATCATGTAAAAAAATGTAATAGTGAGCTTTTCATGAAAATTGCTTATTTCTAGTGTTTTTTTTTTTTTTTTTATAAAACTACTGATGAAAGTTCTGGAATTTTTTTCCTGTATCATACTAAAAGGTGAACAGAATAATTTATAGGATTTATACTGCATACAGTCTAGTTTTGTAAATGTAGACCAAATATATTTTATTGGAAGCATTGCTAGTGCTGAAATACATTGATGTTTATGTTGTCATAGAAGATCTCAGATCCTTTGTTCTCATAACAGGTATCCTCACAGTCGATAAAGAAAATGGAGTTATGTTTCAGTTTTTAGTTATTGCAGCAAATGTGCACAGGTGACTGATTGCCTGAGTTATACAGTGAATTGGTGACACTGGTGGGCTCACAGTTCTTGACTCTGCTTTGCTTTTGTTTTTTCTTTTTCTAAACTAATATTTAATTTGTTGGGAAAATGATTTGTAAATTAAAACATCTCTAACAACTAAAAATGTTTTTCCAGCCAAAGGAAGAGCTGAGCTTCTGAAGATCAATCTTCGTGAAGTTGAGTTAGATCCTGATATTCAACTGGAAGATATAGCAGAGAAGATTGAGGGCTATTCTGGTGCTGATATAACTAATGTTTGCAGGTATTTTTTTTTTTTTTTTAATGATCTGTTATCCTAGACATTAGTTACAGATTTTTCAGGAGAACTTGTCTTAAAGTCAATGTAGTTAGCCATTAACTTAAAAGCAATTACCCATTTCTTTGAAGATTTTTCTTATTTGTTGGAAAAAAATTCTGTATAGCTTTATTGGTTATTGTTAGGTTAATGATTACATAACAATGTGGTCACTTATGGTTTTGGTCCTTTGATTTTTTTTTTTTAATTGTATAATCAACTTGATAATAATGACTTCAACGATCCACAGTCAATTTAGCTCTATGTTGGAGCCTAGCCCAATTAGTATAATGTAATATCATTTAGTTATGGTTGATATTATTAGGCCACATGTGGTGAACAAAAAAGTTGATCAATTTAAGCTATAGAACAAATATTAACCCATTTTTAAAATTTTTCTTTCAGTTTAGCAGCAAAATAATTTTTAGACAATTCACATCACTCAATTTTTTATTTCAGCTCTTATTTAACTGTACTTACACTGACTTCAAAGTAGCTTAAGTCTGAACATCTGTTTTTTTTTTTTTTTTTCTGCTAGTGTTTTTCCTGTGTGCATCTAAGTTTAGTGACATACAGTAAGCTCACAATAGTTTTTTATTGTCAGTGTAGTAATGTTTGAAGTTTTGATTGGCTTGGCCTTCCTCTTAGGTGACTGTGAATTATCTGTTTCTTCCAAACTTTGTATTTCTTTGTAATTGGTCAAATAGAACTGCAAATAAGATTAGGAGATGCCAGAGTTGATACTGTTAGTTGCCCACAAATACTCCCTTGTAGAAAATTGTATCCACTCAATGTATATATTCAAATTGTTATATATTCATATTCCAGAAAGAGGGGTTTCTCATTTTACCCCTTCTAACTAGGCTATAGACAAACTAGTATATATATGGCTTAAATTAATATTGTCCATATGTTCATTTCCAAGTGTGCAATTCAGTATTTCAAAATTTGGCTCCAGTTTCCTAAACTTCTTGGCTATTTTTGAAGTGTAGAATTCAATATTATCTGAGCTCAGCCTAGACTTCTGTGATTCATTAACTATACATTTTATGCTTTAAGACTTTTGTATACTCTTTTAATCTCTTCTGAAACCTCAGGATGTCTCTGAAGCAGAAAGTTCTAAGTAGCATCATAAAAACATATAAAATAATCTTTTAAATGTTTTCCCACAACTTTGTAACAATTTGAAGTGTCCAAAACACAAAAATTACTGCTGACCGATTTTGGTATGTTTTTAGGGATGCTTCTTTAATGGCCATGAGGCGGCGTATCAATGGCTTAAGTCCAGAGGAGATCCGTGCACTTTCTAAGGAGGAACTTCAGATGCCTGTTACCAAAGGAGACTTTGAGTTGGCTCTTAAGAAAATTGCTAAGTCTGTCTCCGCTGCAGATTTGGAGAAGTATGAGAAATGGATGGTTGAATTTGGATCTGCTTGAGTTTTTGTCAGCTCTTTCATTTTCAGTGTATTTATTTATAAAATGTGAAGAAATTCCTGCAGTTTTTCAAGACAGGTTTGGAATTTTTCATTTGAGAAGTTCTCACTTAGAGGCAAAAAAGAAAACTAAAACCACAAAGTACTAAATGTGGTTTTGAACTAAGAAAAACTTGAATAGAGAATCTGATTGTCTCCCTTGCCTGGCCTTGTGCTGGTATTCCTCCTCCAGGGAGGCCAAAGAAAGTAGCAGTGTACTCTTTTAGAAACTTGTTTACAAAAGATTTAGAAGGATGTTCCTTACTTGCATTTGTCTCTCTTTTTGTTTGTTTTTCAATTTATTGCTCTATGACTATGAGGGAGCTATATATATTGGCTTTTAACAACAAAACTGGGTTTGCAAATTCATTGTTATAAGAAAAATGATAGTAAGTTTTGGAGGAAATAAGGAATTTGCTAGTTTCAATCTTTAGATTTCAGTTCCTACTTAACTGTTAGAGTATAACAGTTATAATTTTCACTCCTTCCTTCCCCATTGTTTCCTTTATTAGCTATTTGATTATTTTTTTGAGCACTATCGAGAAATAACCTGTGCTCTGGGTTTTAATAGCTTTGCCAGGTGGTTTCTCTGGTCCATAGCATTTTTTGCTAATATCTCTTATAAGGAGTGCTTCTTCATTCTAGACTTCTGAGTTTGTTTTTGCTTTTCTTTCAACATGTTGAACCAGTTACAGCTAATATTTTTCTCAGCTCCAACACAATTTGATTTTTGTTGAATTCAATTTTAGTATTTAAGAAAATACTTTGACATTTTAAACAAACCCAGTCTGCATGGCTAATGCAAAACAAAATGTTTGTAGTTTTCCACACAGCTTGTTTAACAACACCATCATATGTAATGAATGATGTTTACTTGAAAAGTTTGAAATTCTTCCTTGTCTAGATGAAGAACTGGTACACAAAGTAAGATCAGGTTAGAAATCTGTCTGCTCATTCAGACCAGCAGGAATTAGATGGTAGATCAGAGCCAGGAAAGGCAAATGACACATATCTAATCACAAGTAGAGTATTCTGAGGGGTTAGGTCTTATAGTTAATTACATTTATTCTATTTGAATCATTAGACAATCTGTTTTAGTGATCAGGCTTTTTAAAATTGGTATTTGATGACATACTAAATTCTTGATTTTGAATAGCACCTACTGATTTAAAACATATATTATATGGCTTGTAGACACAGGAGAAACTCTTAGTGTCTTGCTTAAAAGATTTAACTTTTTCCCATTAAGAACTCTAAATGCCTCATGTTCTTTTCAGATAACTTAAGTCTTCTTTTAAATTTCAGTATTTATCTGATGCAATAAATTTCCCTTTTTCCTCAGAGACACAGATAAGACTCTAAATCATAAGGCATCATGATTTTATTATAATTGGATTAATTCATCTTGAAAAACTGAAATGAAGTTGCCTTTTATTTATTAACTTTTATTTTATTTATTTATTTATTTATTTTTGAGATGGGCTTTCCCTGTGTTGCCCAGAATGGTCTCAAATCTCTGGGGTCAATTGAGCCTCCCAAGAATGTGGGACTAAAAAAAAAAAAAAAAAAAAAAGAATGTGGGACTAGAGGTATGCCCTGCTGCACCCGGCTCTAGTTGTAAACTTTCAAAATAAAGAAATAATCCCACCAAAATTATCTTGTGGACTATTGCCATTCAGTAGTGTATTTTTTCCCCTAAATTTTTTGGGACAATTGTTAAAACATAGTTATGTAATTAAAAAAACTTCTCTGTCACAATTTAATTGATTTGTAGACCTTTTCTAGGTTTTGTGTTACTTACCTCAGCGTGCATTTAATTGTTTTAATTCTTTAAGGATAATGACATAGCAATTGTGTTTCTTTTATTACCAGTTAAGCAGTATTTGGGACTCAAAACTTCCCAGAAGCTTATCTTGACTTAATTGAGTCATCTGTGCTTGTTTCCCTTGTTTCTCGTTTTGCTCTGTCAGTGGATGGTGAAGGCTTTGTATATCTAAGCCCCTTAAAAGATCACAAAGAGTCCCGCACGTGTTCTGTCCATTTTTTAGTATACACTGCCTTTATTGCAAGACAGTGTGTTGCCTTCCCTGGAATGAGAAAGAATTGCTTTGGTTTGCTTTTCTATGTTGTAAAAGCAGATGCATTATCAGAAGTATACATTTTAGTTCCTTTAATTCTGGAAACGTGAGTGTTCAGGGTTCTGTGGCACAATGATGTTAGGACTGCACTGGGTATAATTCTGCTTTAGATATATAATCAGATGGTCCCTTCATGGGCAGACGTGGATTGCTTGCTTGCTTGCTGTATACAGGGCAATGGGTGGGAGCTCTGACTTGCAAAGAGGGAACAGACAGTGAAGTTCTGACTTGTTGCTTTCTCTAATTACTCTGTGTAGCTTCTGCTTTCTGCTGAAATAAGAGTTTACCTCAACAATCTATATTTGAGAAAATAATATAAAAAAGTTCCCCCTCCCTCTTTTTTTGCTCTTTAATCAGTTTTACAATTAGAACTGATCCATTTGTTTCAACAATATAAACCTATTAAAGATCTGATGATTGTAATCTCACTTTTATCGTTTTCTATACTATAATTACATGTGTAATTATGGTAAATGGGTACACGTTACATGTTTACTGTAATCATTTTGCTCCCATAATTCCTTTGATTTTAAAGGGAATTAATGTTGATCAAATATACCAGACAAATTGCTCTTCAGTGGCAGTTGTATCCTCTTAGTCACCCAAGTAGATAGCAGACAATAGTATCACAGCCTCTCCAGACACAATCTAGGCTCTGTCTGCTATCTCCCAAAATACCAAGACACTGTGGAATGGAATCACCCTGCAGGCCGGCTGTATAGCTAGGGCTTCATTTGAGCTCCTGAGATTGTGGTTTTTGTGATATGATTTTTGACTTGCAAATATTTCAAAAAATTGGCTGAAGTCTCGATTCAGAAAGTAGGCAAGCACTGATGAATCTAATATGAACAGCCATACAGCTATATCAAGGAAAAATGTGTATATACAGGCCAAATTGACAATATATTTATCATTCTTTCACTTTGCTCTGTGCAGCCCAACTATTGGACAAGAAATGATAGATACTTTTTAGAGAGCATGAGTTCATTTGGCTTCCTTTCTTGGAAGTAAGTTTCTGTGTATACTGAGGAGTCTGAGATGAGAATCACAAAACATTAAAACAGTAACTGTGTCATTGACACAGCTTGAGGTAACATAAAGGACTAGGCAGGTATTTCATGTATGGGTGTCTTTGACTCCTTCAGTATTGTCTAATAAGTTCTTGAGTCTTTTTTTGCATCATAGTTAATTTCTACTTTTCCTTTTATCTTATTAATAATAAATCACCTTAGAGGATCTCCTATATGTTAGGAATCAGTTAAGGGTATATGCTGGCTTTTTCCAAGAAAAGGTTACTTAACTTGTATGAGGAAAAAAATCATACTATTCTAACTTTTTTTTGGTCTTCATTTTGTTCTTTAACTGTTCTGTGTATTTTATACATACCACTTAATTTGTGATGCACATAATATTTATGTGAATCTAAGCATCTGTCACACAGAAAAAAGCAGGAACTATGGTTGGGAGAACATGTTAAAGGGATAAAAATGTTTTGCTCTCATTTCCACTAATAGTATTTGCATAAAGAACTAAAAACTCTGTTGTAATTATTGTTAAGTTTACTTATTTATGCTTTTAAACTAGGTTTTTCATACTTATTTATTTAATAATCTTGGACATTTACTTTTAATGTTGTTTCTGAATGTGGAAACTGTATTTAAAAAATCAAATCTGTGTAATAATAGATATGTTTATACACGTTCATGTGATTGACAATAATTTGAATTTTTATTAGGTTTTGGGCTCTGAACTCTAGCTTTGGTATTTCTAAATTTTAGATGGCTTGTTAATAAAACAGGGAAAATGTTAAAGTAATATAGAATTCTTTTTGTTTACTTTTCTCATTTATTGAGAAAATAAAAATAAAACCTGGATATATTGTTTTATCACAAGTAGTGTGTAGCTTTTATATACTTGGCACAACAAATAGGGAATTAGTATAGCAAAGTCTCCCTCTTATCAAAGGGCTTTCATTTGATATGTTCAAAACTATAAAATGCACTTTTACTTCACATTCTCTGAAATGAGTAAATATTGCCCTGGAGAAACCTGAGTCTTTGCATGTGTTATTCCCAGAGTCTACCTCAGGTCACCATGCTTGTTAGTTTTAGATATGAATCCAGTTCAGTTCTTCATCTATGCAGATTTGTTTCTTTAAGTACTCTCTTCCCTTGTCCTCTTGCCCTCTTATTATTAACTTTTTCATTTAAACACAAAATTTTCTTAAAAGCTGTCTTGTCTGTCTTCCTCTTGCAAAGCCATGTGTTCCCAAGTAGGCCTCTGTGGATTGTCTGCTCTTCCCCCTGATGTCATGGCCACTTCATTATTTGGATGTATGTCATTCTTAGGAGAAGGTTCAAACACAGTGTACATCCTAGTTTCTCATAGCTTTGTAAACAGGGACATTAAAAATTTTGGAACTAATGTTCATGTGTCTAGTCTCTAAGAACCTAAATACTCTTTTTGAAAAACTCACAAAAGTGGACAAATGTACATTCGTCAGGAGAAGCTGCAGTGGGCGCTGTCCGGGTGCTCGCTGTGTGTTATGGTGGTTTATGAGTGTCTTGTCAAGATTTTTGTTCCAGTGTTTGTCTCCCAGTATTTGACTAGTTTAAAGAAAAAGCGTTTTCTAAATTGCATTTATTAAACGTGTTTTTCTTCTCATTTTGTGCTGCTACTTTGCTAGTCTTGAGCTTAGTTGGGTTTGTGTGTAGGTTGTAATCCAGTAATAAATTTCTAGAGTGTTGGTTGTTTGTGTTTTGTTTTTTATGTTCAGTCACTGGGATGCTTCTTGCCACCAGTGGGAACAACAAACCCCCCTCACTAGTAAGATAGGACTTTTCCCAGATTTTTGTTCCTCATAAAATAACATATTGTTAACTTGACATTTTGTACTTGCAGTGCATTATACTAATAATTTCAAGGTTGGTACAGGTAAGAATTGTGGTTTTTCAGTTGATTCTGTTTTAATAAATACACTTGTCTTATTTGTGTAGCACCATTGCAAAAAGCATGTTCCATATGGTGGATTTTCCAGATAACTGAATCTTATTTTATGACTTCTGTCACTGTTGTTATTGTTAAAGTCCATAGTTTACTGTAGAGTTCCCTGTATCATACAGTGTTATGGATTTTGACAAAAAACAAAATGTCATTTATCCACCATTGCAGTATCATACAGGCTAGTTTTTTTTCCTTCTCTTCATTTTTCTTCCCTTCCCAAACCCTGGCAACCACTGATCTTTTTATTTCTCTAGTTTTCCCTTTTCCAGAGTGTCATGTAGCTGGAATCATACAGTATGCAGTCTTTTCAGACTACTTGCTCTGAGTTACGCATAAAGCAAATATGCATTTAAGATTCCTCTATATCTCTTTATAGCTTGATAGCTCATTTCTTTTTAACACTGAATAATATTCCATTGTATAGATGTGCCACAGTTTGTTTATCCATTCACCTACGTTTATAGTTCCAGCAACTCTGAATAAAGTTGGTTTAAACATTCTTGTGCAGATTTTTTGTGTGCGCATAAGTTTTCAACTCCTTCGAGTAAATATCTCCAAGTGTGATTCCTGGAACATATGGTAAGAGTATTTTTACTTTTATAAAAACTACCTAACTATCTTCCAAAGTGGCTGTACCATTTTGCATTCTCAGCAACAATGAATGAGAGTTCCTGTTACTCCACATCCTCACCAGCATTTGATGTCATTGATGTTTTGGATTTTGCCATTTTAATAGGTATGCAATAGTATCTCATTGTTATTTAGATTTGCACTTGCCTAATGATAGATGATGTTGATTATCTCTTAAGGCTTGTCAGTGTTTTAATTAGTTGTGATTGATACCTTGCTAAAATAGATGCAGCCTGAGTCATAAACTAAAGCATGTGATTTTTCCTTTGTTATCAGAGCATCAATCACGTGTTCTGTGCTGCTCTCAATAACAATGGAGGGACTTTTTTTTTTTTTTTTTTTTTTGCCTCTCACTGGGTTTCAGTGTTTGCTTTTATAACATTTCTACTGGTCCACATCAGGGTGACAGCCTGTCTTCCTCTCCAGCTTCTTTCCAATTGGAAGGAGACTGTGAAACAGTTGCCAGGCTGGGTAGAATCCTGGTAAATTAGTCAGCAGGTGGTGGGTGAGGGGTGGCGAGCAGTTCTGTTCTTTGAGTGTTCGTGCTTTGTGTTATTTCTCTGGGTTATTTGTGACCTTTTTATCTTTGGTCCTCAGAAGTGTTCCAGATAGATCAAGTGTGAAGTCGGAAAAGCATAATCACATGACTATACAGTTAGGTAGTATTTGCAGCTAGACACAGTTCCATGCCCCTCACTTCTCCTTTTTTCCTCCCATGACCATGGATGAAATTTAGATCTCTTGAAGGGTACAAAGGAAAAGAATTAGGTAAGTGGAACAAAAATAGGAGACACTTGTGAGGGGAGCCTCCCCACTCTCCCTTCATTCCTTTCTGTTTTCCCCATTGCTCCCTGGGAATGGGACGTGGTTACTGGCCAACATGGCAGAGCATGGGGGTTGGGGAGTTGCCCTGAGAAGCCAGGAATTCAGCTGAAACCTTGAGCAAAAATGTGAGCATTGCCTAGCACCTTCCCTTCTCAGCATCAGCTACTTCCTTTCTAATGGACCAGAGAATGGTAGGTGGGCCCGCGACATCCCTGGCTGGCTCCATCATCTCACACTCATCCTGAAGGCTGGTGCCAAGGTGCTGCCTTCTCTCCCCTGACTAGATATTTCCACAACCAGCTGCACCTGGCCCTGGCCCACTTGGGATTCCTCTGGCTCTTTCGTCATGCCATTCCTCCTCCTGCACTCTGAACAGGCAGGAAAGGGAATCAAAGGGATGGCACATGTGGCAAGGTTATTCCTCTCCTCTTTATGATCAGGAGGGCTTTATGGCCAACTCTTCCTTAACTTTTCCTATTATTTTCTTACAATCTGCCATGTAAGTTTTGAGAGGTTCACCAGCATCTTGTAGTGCTTAGAGCTGAATCCAGGAACATACGATATAGTCCAGTCCCCTCATTTTTTAGGTAAAGAGCTACACCATGGAGATTTTAAAATATGTGCTCCAGTTCACATTCTGACTCATGCAAACAGGACTTATATCTATTTCTGATCTTGAAGAATACTTCTGACAAGGCTTAAAGAAAGGAAGTCAGGATGGCAAAATATTAAATTACTTTAAGACTGTACAGCATGGCACAGGTTGAACATCTCTTATTCATAATGCTTGGAGCCAGAAACATTTAGGATTGTGGATTTTTTTAAAAATTTGAAATGTTTTTGAATACATGATGAGATATCTTGGGGGTGGAACCTAGGAATAAACATGAAATTCACTTGTTTGATGTCTTATACACATAGCCTGAAGGTAATTTTAGTATAATACCTTCAGTGCACCTGATTTTGACTGACCTGTCACGTGAGGTCAGGTGTGGAGTTTCTCTCATGTCAGTGCTCAGATTTTGGAGCATTGTAGACTTTATGTTTTCAGATTAGGGAATCTCAACCCGTACTGAGACTGTTCAGCCCAGTTGATGATAGTCAAGAACCACAAGATGCTGCATCAAAGGATCGGAACTAAGGTAACATCTGGTATTATGCTAAATACTTTGTTTCATTAAATTTATACTTTAACCCCAGGGATGTATTTACTATTATTATTTTTCTGCAGAAGAGGAAATCAAGGCTTGTAGAGTGACTTGCTCTCCTAAGAAGTGGAGGAAGTGTTGAGCCTAGCTTAGTTTGGTTTAGAGCCTTTTCCTTTGCCATGTTTCAAGATTACTCTCCACAAGTTAAACATGTACAAAAAGCTCTTAGTTCTAAAACATGTTGCATTCACTCAGTTTTCTGAGGTTCTTAACCACTCTTTTTCTTCCCTTTAATACTATTTTTAAACAGGAGTTTTGTAGATGGACTCCCATGATGTGTCCTTTTGATAGTTTTTATGTTAATCATGGGATTTGTGTAATGGGATTTAAATGAATTTGGGGGATATTGTGCCATTTGCTGTATCAGAGTGTAGATATATGCCTGTTGTTTCTCAGGGCAAAGCATACCTTTACCTCATTGTTCTGAGAGTTTCCATGAATTCTATTTAGGCTACCAAGTTAAGAGACATAAAGCTATAACTGTTACTTTTGTTGCTCTGAAGGATGACACTGCTCCACTAACTGGATGACAGCTCCTGGGTCCCTTGCTGGATATACGGTTGTCATCACTTGCAAGGCACTACCAAAGCACTACCAAAGGCACTACTTCCAACACAATTGGAAGACTGAAATGTCTTCCAATTAGCACATCTTAAATAATTGTTTAAACAAATAACTAATAAGAGTGTGACTGCTGTATTCCATAACATAAATCTTTAACTATAGCGTTAATACTTATTATGCAATTAGGGATGGATGACTTGCACTTCATTTGGGGTTTATAAAATACCTCGAGCTATTTTTCTAGCATTTTGAAATATATTTTGTAACATTTCTCAAACATACTTTACCAAACACATTTCCTCTAATTTTTAAACCCTTGCGTATTTTAAGGGAAATTTAATCCATATGTTTCAGATTCATTTGCACTTAACTCATCAAAGTTGTTTTTTAAGAACAGTTTGGTTTCCAAGAAGTTTTAGGAACCCTTCTCATGAATTCTGTCAGCCTTTAAAAGCATTTTTCCCAATCAAAACATTTTTTCCCTCAAGATAAATAAATGTGGATAAAATATTTTAGTTCGGTTTATAACACAGTGACCATGTTTTAAAATCTAGGCCCTGAATTCAGGAAAATAAATTATTTTGTTTTTGCTGTGAGAACTTGCTTCATTTGTTACTCTTCAAAGCTAGTATCAGCAAAAGACTTATAACCTCCATGTTCTCTTGAAAACACAGCATGTTGACACTGTCTTCCCAAATCCATAGCAGAAGTGAATCCGTCTAACAGCAAACTGAACCAACTAGTCATTGGGGGTCTGTCATGTATGCTGGATTTATGTATATATTCACACACATTCACATGTGACATTAGAATATACTCCTTTAAATTTGTGCAGGCTAACTTTTTGCTTTTTGTATAGGCTATGAGTATCTTTTACCTGAAATGCTTAGGACTAAGATTTTGGAGGTTTTTGGGGGGTTTTGGAATATTTGCATAGACTTTACCAGTTGAGAGTGCCCCCACTTTGAAAATTCCAAATGCTTTAAAATCTGAGACTTTGAGCATTTGATTGGTGCTCAAAAGGTTTTGGATTTTGGGTTTTATGAGGGATGTTTAACCTGTTCTTGAAATTTTAACAAGGCACCTCTGTATTCTGGATTGAATAAACATGTATTATGACGATCTCATCTCTTTTTAGAATATTTTTTTCACCTAAGATTTCGTTCAACAGGTTTCTGTTGCCTAGCAGTAGATTTTGAAAACTGCTTTTTTGTATAGCTTAATTGAACAGGTTAATGGTATGAAATTGTCTTAGAAAAAGTAAGGTCACTGCAGGGAAGGTAAAAGGAAACATGCTGACAACTAATTGGACAGAATGTCATAAAACATGAGGACTCTGGAAAAGATTTGCAGAAACATAGCAACAAAAGAAAGGCATATGCCTAAGGCACCTAGAAACTGCATTCAGAAATATACCAAGAGAAAGGCACCATTTTCTTTTCTTCAGTTCTTCGTGGGCAATTGCAAAGTTGCTAATCAAGACAAATAACCATTAGTCTGTCTTTTAATGGAAATTAATTCATTTTTCATTTTTCTGTACTTTTCAAAGTGAACCAATTTCTTACATCTGTTTCATTAGTTCATGATGTAAATGACCATTAAAGGAGAAGCTTTACTGATAGGTAAATTTCTCTTAAGGATTGACACTTAACATCTTCTTGTTCAAACCAAAATGCAGAACATCTTGCATTAGGAGAGACTTCTACTTTGCATTTTTCCATAGGATTATTGTTTACCTGGCAAAAGAAATGCAAAATTACTAAAGTTTTAAAAAGCAGTACTTGCAGAAATCAATCCAGTGCCTGCCTTTATTCCTCTCTCCCAAGAGCTCTTGGCCTAAGAATCAGACATGGCTTTTGATACCCTTTCATTTGGCCTTGGGGCAGGATTATGCCAGTCCGTGTCACTAACATGGGACAGTGTTCACCAAGCTTTGACAATGCTGCTCCAGGAATAAAAAGTTTGTGAGCTGTATGCTATTACTAACTATGTTGATAGTTTACAGAATATTTGGAATTGACAGTACTTCCATGTAATTTATAGAAACATGAGATATAGAAATTTTGAAGGTTAGAAAACATTGGAAAGTAATTTTATTGTTATACAATCCTTTCTAAAATTATGAATAATATTTGTATTGAGGGTCATTGGATTAAATACCCTTCATTATTATTTTTTAACCTTGGGATAACAAGGACAGTGATCTAATTAATTTCACTGCTTAATTTCAGTGACCATTATAGCTGAGAAAGTTACTTGACAAAAGTGTGTA